TTGAGCTCGCTTTTGGCGCCAATTATTCACGTCTGCTGCCAATAAGCGCCGTCGGGCCGCGCAGCCGTCATGATTGCCGAGCGACCGACCCACGGTGGGCGGAGGCGGTCGAAACTTTAGACGCGATTTGATCTCCAGAGTCGCTAAATGGGACTCGAACCGAACGTGTGACCCCACCAATGGATTGCTCTCGGAACGAGGAATCCATTGGAGGGGCCACATGCTCGGTTCGAGTCCTGTTCAGCGAGTCTGGAGCTCGAAACGCGTTTCGAGTTCTGGCCGCCTCCACCGGTCTTCTGGCCCACTGTGCGCACCCTTCTCGCCGCCCTTGGCGTCCGTCCCTTTCCGCCCTTCCCGGCGAGTCCCGCGCGAATTACTCGGCCCATTCGGCGAGCCGTGGCGGCCGGCGATATTAATAAGAGTGTTTGTTTTAAAAGAGGCCAGTTTACAAATTAAAAAGCAACACTGGAAACGAGACGAGCAGCGCCAACGCCGCCGCCGCCTAGCAGCAAGAGCAGCAGGGAAAGGAGGAAGAGAGAATGAAGAAACTGTTGCTAATTTTCAATTACAGTCGAGCGCAATAATTAATTTTTTTTCTCGGGACGTACTTTATCGTAATGTGCCTTCATGGCGCGCTGCTCCGCGCTGCTCCGCGCTGCTCCCCATGCCGCTTTGACGTCGTACCGAATTTCGCTTCTAATGAGGGCGACTGATAAATGACGGTGTCGCGTCGCCTTTCTGCTCGCGGCGGCCCGCTTGGCGCGGCGTGGCGGCGCGGCCCCGCCATTCAAATATTTGCGTCCCGCCGAGTGTCGAGTGCGCGGCGGCATGTCGTCCCGGCGCCGGAAAAAAACATCAACAAGAACAAAAGAACAACGCAACACACACACACACCTCAAGTTTTATCTGAGCTTCGCGCCGTACGTTGGGCGCCGTACGACGCGGCCGCGGGGGCGGGATGGCCCTGGATGGCCCTGGATGGCCCTGGACGGCCCAGTGCCCCGCCATGCCGCGCCACTGTTTGCACGCTGGCTGCTGCCTGCGGACTCGTTCCGAGAGTCGTTTCGTCGCTCTGCCTCTCTCGCACCCATACAGGACGCCTTTTGAGTGCGAGAGAGACGAGTCTCGGAGCTGCTTCTGCCGGCCGGCGGTCATGCAGGGCCATGCCCCGCCGCCATGCCGCCGCCGCGACCACCGGGCGGACGTCGCCGCGCTCCCCGCGGACGGCCTGTGCGCCCCGGCCGATTTCTCATGGCACTTGATTGCACCTTGCGGTGCACCGGCGGCCGGACGGCGGCGCTCCCGGACGTCGTACGAGGCCGCACCGCGCGCCGCGCACGTAGCACGGCGGACGTGCAAACAATGGCCGTGCCGGCCGAGGCCGTGCAGTATCTCGCCGTGGGGAGGAGCGCGGCGTGGCGGCGCGGCGGCGGGGCGGCGGAGGTCCGGCCGCCATGAAACTTTGATCGGGAAAGGATAAAGTTACTGCAGTGCATGTCGGAGATGTCCCAGGCAGCGCTGGCAGCGCCGTGGGGCTGACGGCGTCCCCGCCCCGCCCCGCCCCGCCGGCCCGGGCAGCAGCCGGCGCGGATTAAACATGAGGGGGGCGGCGCGGGGCGGCGCGGGGCGCAACGCCAGGTGGAGGGGGCGGGGGGAGTCGAACCCGGGCCGAGCGCCGCCGAGCGGTGTGTCGCAGCAGCAGCAGCAGCTCGGTAATTAGCGTGTTGTGTTGTGTTCCGTGTCAGCACGCGCTACGCCGCCAGGCTGCTCCTGCCCGGCTGCCTGGCTGGCACACTGTGCGCTGCTGTTGCCTGCCTCCCTCCGATCGGGACCGCACCGTTTTCTAATTGGCCTCCTTGTAAGCCGGCCTCGGCTTATGACGACAGCCCTTGATATAGCGCGAGGAAACTGGCGGTCGACGCCACTGGCTTCTTCTTCTCCTCCCTCTTCTTCTCGTTCTTCTTCTTCTTCTCCTTCGCCTAGACCTTCCTCTCGCAAGCTCCGTCCTCCACTCTCCACTCGCCTCTCCATATTGGATGAGGCGACCGCGGACACTCTGGTGGTGGCGGCCCGGCGGCCCGGTCGGTCAGATTAGGTAAGATGATGAGAAAATGATTGGATCCGGGACGACAAAGGGAGCGGGCGGCGAGGCCGCATTCCGCCTTCCACCGCCTGTCGCGGCGAGGCGCGGCGAGGCACGGCCGGGCTGGGCTGGGTCGTCGGGGAGTCAAGCACGTTTACATTACGTGTATCAGCTTATGCCATTTTGACGCCACGCCGCGCAGCCAAGCCAGCCAGCCGGGCCGCCCCGCTCGCCCGGCCTGCCACCCCCAGCCTCGCCCAGCCTCGCACAGCCTCGCACAGCCTCGCACAGCCTCCCTCTATCCGGCCTGCGTCGCCTGCGTCGCCTGCGTCTCACACACGACGCCTCCCCAATCCATTAGGTCTGCCGCAACACCCAATATCACATCCACCCCGCCCCGCTCCGCCGCGCCGCGCCACGCCGCGCCACGCCACCCCCGCCCCGCGCGGCGGCAGCTCTTACCTCTTTACCCCGGTGACCGCCGGCGTCGAAACGACTGCAGTGCGTGCTGCCGGCCCTGCTGGCCCTGCTGGGTGCTGCGGGCCGCGCCTGGCTGCCCGGCCAGCGCCACCGTTACTCTCCGATCCGTTTTTCCAGACCACTAGCGCCGCGCGCCGCGCCTGGCCGCCCGGAGCCCCGCCGCCGCCGCCGTCGCGTCGCCCATCAAAAGCTGCTTAAAAAAAACATACCCGTTATTATTGGCACTAGATTCCCCCTCCCTCCCCTCCGCTCCGGACCAAGCCTACATTAGGATGCCGCGTGGCGGCGGTGGGGCCGGGGGAGGGGGGGAGCGGCCGAGAAGTACTTTATGGGGTTGGCCAAAACGCTCGCCGGGGTTCTCATATGGGGAGTGCGAACGTGGAGGGCGCGGCGGGGCGCGGCAGGGCGCGCAGTTCAATTGGATTGCCTCACGCGGTGTATAAACCTGAGAATGATACGGTGGCCGTGCTTCGCGCCTCGCGCGCACCCCACGCGGCGCCATATTTATTTTTCTCGTTTTTTCGTTTTTTCTTCTCGTGTTTTTAATGACCGGGAGTACCTGCCACGGCGTGTCGTTCGGGGCGTTTGCTGCCTTTCATCGCCATGGTCGCATTAACATCCCCCTTCCCCCTCTCCTCCCCGGCCCCGGGAGGATCGGGTTGGATCTCGCCGCCCCTCCCCCTCCCCAAGGGCGCCGGAAGTGGGGTGCGGGGGGGGCGACTTGCCCCCCCCCCAAAATCTGGTGGGGGGGGCATCGCCCCCCCCATTTTCAGACACAAAAGTGCCATTTTGAGCTCGGAATAGAGAGAAAAATATAGCAAAGTCGCAAATTCTTTGATTTTTGGCTTCTAGCTCGCTTCGCTCGCAAGTTTCTTTCATTTTCCTCTATAATTTTACCGTTTGGCTCGCTTCGCTCGCCAATAAAGCATGTAATTATGCTCTGAAAAAGGCAAAAGTTGTGCTAAAGTCTAGAATTGTGTGAATTTTCGCTTTAAGCTCGCTTCGCTCGCTGGATTTGTAACATTATTAAAGAAATCTAAACCGTATTGGGTGTTGCCCCTTAACGGTAGGCAACCCATCAATTTTTCATAAAAATTTCGCCCCCCCCCACCAGAAACTACTTCCGGCGGCCCTGCCCCTCCCCCGCCTCCGCCTTCCTTGGAATTGTTTTGGCGCCAATAAAGCGTAAAATTGCGGACATATTGATGTTGAGGCGCGGCGGCGCGGCGCCGGGGCTGCGTCCGAGGGGGGCGCCGCGGCGGGGAGATGGGGTGATAATGGCTTGGCCCGGCCGTGGGCCGTGGCCCGGCCTTGGCGGCGAGCGGACGGGCCGACAGGCAGACGGACAGATCTTTCGGCGCTAATCATACGCCGCGTTGGGACAATCCTCGATGCAGATCGACTCGGCGGCGGCGCGTTGCGCACGCGACGGGGATGGCTCTGACGAGGTGTAGTCCCTTCGCCCTGCCGCCACCCTGCAGTCTGATTCCGAGAGGCGTTTCCGTCGCTCTGTCCCTCTCGCTCCTGCACGGGACGCTCCGCGAAGTGCGAGAGAGACAGAGCGACGAAGACGAGACTCTCGGGATGAGTCTGCCGCCGCCCTGCCGCCGCCCTGGAGTGTCTCCTTCCGGCCGCCACTGCCGGTGGCAATCAGTGCTTTGATTACTGATTCCGAAGAGTCGTCTCGCGGCCGCGCGGGACGGCCCTGAGTGCGACAGAGACGGATAGCGACTCTTCGGAATCGCTCAGCAAAGAAAGACAGATTCACCCCTCGGTGGCGTCGTTCCCGCACCACTCGAACGCTCGCGCCATTTCCCCCCGCGTGTATTTATTACTTTTCAGAGCACGCTGTCCGGTCTTCGCTCTCCGCTCTGCGTTCTGCGTCCTTCCCCTAGCAGCAGCACTCTCTCTCTCTTTCTCTCTCTGGCCGTGCGAGTCCATTTCGCGGCGACGAAGACCGAGAAGACACTGGCCTTGATTCTTTACGTAACTCGCACAGCTTATTGTGCAGTCGCGGCGAGGGAAGGGTACACTGGGAGGGCGGCCGCGGCTTTGGGCAGCGCCACACCCCTCCTCCCCTCTCTAAACCCCCTTCCACCCCCCTCCCACCCCCTTCCCCTTTCTCCCAAGAGCCCCCACTAACTCTGCCCGTCTCAAAGAACCAATCTAGATGCTGTAATTGAAATCCACACAATGTCCATCTGACCCCCAACCCCTCGGTCCTCCGCGCCGCCCCGCCCGCCCCGCCCGGCCTGCCCGCCACGCCAAGCGGCTCCCCTCCCCCTTTTCTCCACCTCCCCCACCCCCTTCTTTGCCCCGCTGATCCACCGGGAACAGCACACTCTCTTTTCTCCCTCTCTCTCCCTCCCTCCTGCCAGCACTGCGACCGTCTCGCTCGCTCGCTCCTTACACGCATTGTTGCATTTTTGTGTTGCAGGTGGGCATGTGCCGCAGTAGCCCGACCAGCCCGCCCCGCTTGTCCAGTTCCAGATTCCAGAGACCAGCAGTGAGTAAAAAGAGAGAGAGAGAGAGAGAGAGAGAGAGAGAGAGAGAGAGAGAGAGAGAGAGAGAGAGAGAGAGAGAGAGAGAGAGAGAGAGAGAGAAGGGGTGGAATAAAGGACGTGTAGCTCTCTGGCTTCTGGCTGCTCTGCTCCGCTCTGGCCGCCCGCTTTTCCGCTTTTCCGCTTTTCTCCGATTTGCAGCGAAAGGCGAGAGGGATGGCTGTTCCGGGCGACTGGAGGGCCGATCCCGAACACTTGCTCTCGTCGCTCCGTCTCTCTCGCACTCACGCGGCCGCAGCGGCGCGGCGTAGGGGTGCGAGAGGGACGGGGCGGGCGCGCTGCGCGCCGGGCGTCGCGTGGCAGTGGCGTGGCAGTGGCGTGGCGTCGCGGAATGAGTCGGGACTTGTGCGGTCCGTGCGGTCCGGCCGCACTTGGGCGGCGCGTCCGGCGTGGCTGCCTGCCTGCCTGCCTGCCTGCCTGCCCGCCTGCCTGCCTGCCTGCCTGCCTGCCTGCCCGCCTGCCTGCCCGCCTGCCTGCCTGCCTGCCTGCCTGCCTGCCTGCCTGCCTGCCTGCCCGCCTGCCTGCCTGCCTGCCTGCCTGCCTGCCCGCCTGCCTGCCCGCCTGCCTGCCTGCCTGCCTGCCTGCCTGCCCGCCTGCCCGCCTGCCCGCCTGCCTGCCTGCCTGCCTGCCTGCCTGCCTGCCTGCCTGCCTGCCTGCCTGCCTGCCTGCCTGCCTGCCTGCCTGCCTGCCTGCCTGCCTGCCTGCCTGCCTGCCTGCCGGGCTGTGGCTCTTAGGGGGATTGGAAAGTGCGTCTTCCTTTGGACCTTTGGGCAGCCGGCTCGCCTCGCCACCACTGCAGGGAGTGCACACATTTCATCAGGGTGGAAACACATCCCTCTCAGGCGGCCAGCCAGCAGCCAGCCAGCCAGCCGGCAGCGGTGGCTGAAAGGACCGCGCCGTTTTTGTAGTCGCAGGGTGAAAGGGTAAAGGCTGTATAATTACCTGGACTTTTTTTCTATCTTGGTCGAGGAGGCGCTCTCTCTCGCTCTCGCCGGAGACGCCCTTTGAGGAAGCAAAAAGTTTTTCTCTTTGTGGCGAGAGGGCCGCGCACCGCGCACGCGGCGGGCGGTAGGCCCTCTGTCTGTCCTTCTTGCACCCCACGAGAGAGAGAGAGAGAGGGGGGGGGGAGACAATCAGCCAGGCCGGCCGGAGTGGCGGAATGGCAGTGCATCCGTGTGACACGTTTGTCCGGATTTGGGCGCGGGCTGCCGGCTGGCTGCTCGGGCTGGCCGCCTGGCCTCGCCGCTCGATTTCCCAGGGGCCTTTTTCCCTTTTCCGCCTCTAAGTCTTTAATGCAGCCGTGTATGCGCATCGCGGCACCGCGGCATCGCCCAGGGCATCGTGGCACAGTGGGCCAGAGGACCGGGGGAGCCGGCTCAAACTCTAGACGCGTTTTGAGCTCCAGAGCTTCTAAATGGAACTCGAGCCGTACGTGTTACCCCACTAATAGATTCCTCGTCCGGAGAGTAGTCGATTGGTGGGGTCATACGGTCGGTTCGAGTCCCATTTAGCGTCTCTGGAGCTCAAAACGCGTCTAGGGTTTCGGCCGCCTAGCCTCCACCAGTTTTCTAGCCCACTTTGCGCGGCCCGGCAGCCCCCCACTAGAAAAACAAAGAAAAGGTCGACGCCAGTGGTGGAGTTTGAACCCGGGACCGCTTCCGCGACACCTCGCCCTCGCCGCTGCAGCGCCTCAAGTACTTTCCTTCCTCGGGGTCCGTTTCCCGAATGGCGATTTTGATGGAAAACTTTGGCCCTTTGGCGCTGCCGGCGCGCTATGTGCGCGGCGCTGGAGGCTGGAGTCTTTGTCTCTCTCACGCGCCCCCGCGGCACGGCCCTCGAGTGCGAGAGAGACGGCGCGACGCGGGCAGTGTTCGGAATCTGCCTGCTGGAGCCGTGCTGGCCGCGCTGGAGCGAAGGGGCTGCCGTCGCGCCGCCGTGCCGCCGCGCGCAGGGCCATTCCAGCGCCAATCCAGGAAGCGACCGCTTCCACTGCACTGCCGGGCACTAGCAGTGCCGCGTTCGTCGCCAGCCCCGCTCGACGGCGAGGGGAGGGCCTTTATTAGGAATAACCACTCTCTGGATCGCTAGTTTCACGCGGCCCGAAACTCGACAACTCTCGATACACGACAGAGGAACCTAATCCCTTGACGCTGTTGCAGGTAGAATGAGGATGGACGCCAAGACCGAGGCCCAGAAGTGCGCGGGCTGCGGCAAAATCATCAGTGAAAGGTGCGTGTTGTTCCGTTTCGCTTCTTCTCCGTCGTCCAGTGGCGCTCCGGCCGGAGCGCGCGGGGTCTTCCCTGGCACGGCCGTGACCGCGCGACTGTTGCAGGTTCCTGCTCAAGGCCATGGACCTGTTCTGGCACGAGGACTGCCTCAAGTGCGGCTGCTGCGACTGCAGGCTCGGCGAGGTGGGCTCCACGCTGTACACCAAGGCCAACTTAATACTCTGCAAGCGGGACTACCTCAGGTACGCTCGCACCCCTCACCCCTGCGCAGTGGGCCAGAAGACCGGTGGAGGCGGCCAAAACTCGAAACGCGTTTAGAGAGTCGCTAAACAGGACTCAAACCGAACGGATGACCCCACCAATGGATTCCTCGTTCGGAGAGCAATCCATTGGTGGGGTCACACGTTCGGTTCTAGTCCCATTTGGCGACTCTGGCGCCGTCCGGAATTTTGGCCGCCTCCACCGGTCTTCTGGCTCTGGCCCACTGTGCCTGGTCGAGTAAGTGCGCGGGAAGCGCCAGCCGATCAGTGCCGATTCAAACGCCCCCTCTTTGGCCGTTCCAGATTGTTCGGCAACACGGGGTGCTGCGCGGCCTGCACCAAGGTGATACCCGCCTTCGAGATGGTCATGAGGGCCAAGCACAACGTGTACCACCTGGAGTGCTTTGCGTGCCAGCAGTGCAGCCATAGGTGAGTGTGTGTGTGTGTGTGTGTGCCGGGGCCCGTCCCTGGCGGCCGCGCCGAGGGGGTCGTTTTGCTGCGGTGCGAATGTTTCTTTCAGGCGCGTCGGAACGGCAACGGTGAGACAATGCGGCGGCCATTATGATCGGAAAATAAACAAAAAAGCGGCTGAATAAATAAATAAAATAAATAAGTAAATAGATCGGAGTGCAACACACTTGCCGCGGCCCTTTGATTTCCCCTGTGCGCCGTAAAGACCGCTGTGCCCGGACGGAGGGGCGGGTCGCGTGCGAGGCGGCGGCCGTCCGGTGCGGCGGTCCGGCGTCCAGCCAGGTCCAGCGGCCCGGCCCGTCCCGTCCGGCGGCCGCGTCGCACTCCGCATCCGCTCTTCGCACGCAGACACCCCCGGCCAACGCCAGGCCCACGCCAGGCCCACGCCACGCGACGCGGTGACCGGCCGCGGGGTAGCGCCGCGCGCGGACATACCCCGCGCCGCAGCGGGGCGTATGCTCGCCCACTCACGGCCCTCTCTCTTTGTTCGCAGGTTTTGCGTGGGCGATCGGTTCTACCTGTGCGAGAACAAGATCCTCTGCGAGTACGACTTCGAGGAGCGGCAGGTGTTCGCCCACATGGTGTACTCGCCGTCCACCGTGGCGCACCTCAAGAGACAGACGTCGCACCTGCCGGTCAGCGCTCAGGACGCGCAAGTATATATTGTTGGAATGGACGGGACGGACAGGCGGGCACGCCGGGCAGTCGGCGGATTCCGAGTGGGGGGTCTCTCTTTCTCTGTCGCACTCATGGAGCGTGCTGTGTGGGTGCGAGGGAGACAGACCGACGCGAACTCCCGTTCGGCATCAGCCCGCAGCGCGGGGTAGAGGCGGGGCGGGGCAGGATGACTAGGCCACTGGTAGCTAGCTACATTGTCGCCCTCTTGCACTTGCGTGTTGAGTCGCTTGCTGTCGATCCATTGTAGCAATATGTAATTGAACCGTCTGTTACTTTAAGAGGATGTAGCTTGCCCGGTGTAGTGCACCTCGCGGGGACTAGCCGTGGGTTTGTCTCTGTCGGGCGTGGTTTTGAATCTGAGTGTCCGTGTTGCAGCCTGGCGGCCCGGGTGGCACCGTCACCTCCCCGACGACGCCGGCCCTCCTGAACGGCTCGCCGCCCGTCAACGGCTCGACGCGGACGCCCCTGGCCGTCACGGGCGGCACGGGCGGCACCAACGGCGCCGGCGTGCAGCCCTCGCCCGGGGACCCCCACCGCGGCGACCTCAACAACAACATGGGCATCGTGGGCAGCCAGAGCCCGCTGCCCTTCAAGAACCTGCCCCCGCTGTCCATGGCGGGGAGCTGAGGGGAGGACGGCCCTTCGGTTGGACACTGTCACAGTGCCCCCGAGTGCTTCCGCGAGCACGGGCGGCCAGGGACGTAGCGCGTCGCTGCAGTCGCTGCCCACCCGGATTTGTACAAAGCCCGAATGGATATTTTATGCTACCTAATTGTTGTGTTAGTTAGCCCTTTCAAATTGTTGCTGTTAAGAAGGCGAATGAACACTGACACTGTTGATGAAACTCTTTGTTTCCCCTTCCAAATTTGGCTCCGCATGTCAGCTTTCTAGCACTTTTCTTCGATGTATTGTTATTCCATTTGTAGATGGGGAGGTATCAACAACCCCTGACCGTGTTTTCCCTTGTTTTCGTCAGTTTTCCGGCCAAAGCCTTAACTTATTGTTGACGAAGAAAAGAGCCAAGCAAGCGGGGTGCCGAGCCAAATGACATGCACGCAAGTCTCTAAGACCCTCGCTACTGTACTGTACGATAGAAGCACCGATAATGTAAACGTTCGCCCGAACCGTTAGACGGAACTATTCAAGAAGAAATCCCCGCCCGACTATGTAAACGTGGCTCTGTATAATGTTTCTATTTGAATCGCGCGCTCTTCGATATTGTCTCCGGTATGAAATCATGTTCCTGTTTCACTCTTTCTTGTTTTTTTGTTGTCTTTTTGGTGATTTGTTTAAGCTAAATCGCGCGTTTGTGAAGATGGCAGATGTTTCTCTTAGCTAAGACGGTTTGTGTCGGAGCTCCGCGCAGTTGTTGGACTTCCCTGATGGGACCCTTCCATTCCAGATTCGTTTAAATTTGTTGCTGTGGTTACCTAACGTGAGTAGGGATGTTTATGTTTAAATGTGCCATAAAATGTGATATAAGTGACGCATCTAGTCGTCGGCACTGCGGAAAGAGCGGAGGAATGACACTTTGTTTATTGTTTTGCCGACCGTTATTTTTTTATGCTCAACTTCATTCGGGGCCGACACTTCCTCAGTGTTTCTCTTTACTGTGGAAATGATGAAAATGACTGTGACATGCTGTTAGGTTATAGTGAACGGCGAATCCTTTTTGCCGATGTTGTATACTGATTTAATATTGTTTATCTGTATATATAGTAGAATAAATACACAATGTGATATAAGAAATAGGCCGGCGCAGTGCTTTCTGTTTCTCCCCCGGCCCCTCGGCGTCGCGGCGCGGGGTAGCGTCGGCGCGTCCGCTCGCGACGCCACCGACTGGCGCCACCTAGCGGGCGCGGGGCCAAGCAGAGCCGGCGCGGTCCGCGCGTGCGCATCGCAGACGCCCCCACACTCACAAACTGCCGATAAAGAATTTGCCATGCAAAGCCCCTCTGTGAGGGAAGCCGCAGGTGGAGAGTGCCTGAAAGGAGATTTCGCGACGGGGATCAAATAACAATTGCTCCATGCACTGACTTCACGTTCGTTGCTGGGCGCTGGGCGGCCGGCGGCGCGGGGTTGTGGACGTCATGTTGTTCTCGCCCCCGCCCCCTTCCCGCCCGCCCGTCTGCCGCCGGTCTGTCCGTCTAGCGACGCGGCGGACCACGCCTGATCTGCGCATCCCGTCAGTTCTAGGGTGAGCGTCCATCCCCGACCATCTCCCGCAGAAGCCGAACAAAAAAAAAAAAACGAACAAACGAACCGACCGAGGAACGAGCCGATGCGCCGCGAATCGAGGAAAAAGTGCAGAGCCGCGAGGAAGATTAGCTTTCATTGACCCGCTGTGGAGAAGAAATTGCAGTGATACTCGCTACAGTGGTAAAAGAAAACAGGAAAAAGGATTTTGCTGATTAAAAAAAAGAGTAAAATCATACGACAAAGGTGCTTCTTCACCCTGGGATTGGATTGACTGCACGACAGGTAATGTTAAAAATTCGCTCCATCCCATTTTCTGTGACTGAAGTTATATCCAGACACGATTCAGTCTTTTTGGATGTGTGTCTATACATGCCCGAGGCATCGTAGACTTCTAGTTTTTATAGTACCAGGGCGACGCCGGGCGCATCCCTAGACCGACTCAAGGCTCGGCGAGGGGCTCAACAGGGTGCAGACGTTAAGCTCTAGTAACCCCGTTCGGCCACCTCATCCTCCGCCTGCTAAAAATGCAACGCCTCGCAGAAAATGCCTTTACCCCATTCCATTTATACGCGCCTCGTCCACTTACGAATGGCGAACCATTTTGATTCGCCGCGCGTGTTGGCTTTTTCTTCAGGTGACATCGTCGAGTTGGCGTAAATTGAAGAAGGGCACTCGTCTGATTTGACGCGAAGCCATGCGAGAAGTGCTGGCCGGCTGGCCGCGCTCGTCGGGCGTGCGGGGCGTGCGGGGCGTCGTGAGGGCCGCGAGTGCCGCGGCAACCCGGCCCGCCATCAATAACACGGTCTCGACGACGTCCCCGCGGTTCGCGCCGCGTGCCGTTCGGCGCGGACCTCGCGGGCCTCGGCCGGCCGGCCGAGCGATTCAGCAGATCGGTTCGTCGCTCTGTCTCTCTCGCGCACCTACGGAGAGCCCCGTGAGTGCGACAGAGACAGGGCGACGATACGACTCTATTCCGAATCGCCCGACACGGCAGCTTCTGCCGCGGAACTCGGCGACCGCCGCGAGTGCGACAGAGACGGCCATGTAAAACGATGCATCTGTGCCAGCGAGTTGAGAGGCTTTGGTCTGAATGGGCTAAGTGACTCCAATCAGCCGGCAGGGCGGGGCGGGGCAGGGCGTGCGCGGCGTGTGCGTGACTGGGAAGAAAGAGGCGCGAGGCGGGGCGGGGCGGAAGCGATCACAATCAGAGTATTTTCAGCCCGCCAAAAAAGAAGCGCTCGCGAAGCGGTGATATGACGAGAGCCGGCGTCGGCGGCATGCGTGGAGTAAAGCCCCTTCAACTAGTGTAGGCGCACCGCGGCGGCTCGCCGACTCAATTACTCATGATTCCGTACGCATGCACACATCGGGGACGCCCCGCAACGTCGCCGGCGGCGAGGCCGGCCTGGGCCGGCGCACCACCCTTCTTGATGTCTGCGTTAGCTTGCAGGCGGAAAAACAAACATCGCCCACACAAAGGGAACGACGACTTACGATCGGCTGCACCTGGGTGGATTCGAACCCGCCACTCACGCTTCGGAAGCCGACCTCCTGGCCCGCGTGGCCACGCCGCACAGTCAGCAGGGTAAAGGCGGTGAAAACCCCGGAGTCGCTAAATGGGACTCGAACCGAACGTGAGACCCCACCAGTGATTGCTCTCCGAACGAGGTGTCCATTGATGAGGTCACACGTTCGGTTCGAGTCCCATGTAGCGACTCTGGATCTCAAAACGCGTCCAGAGTTTTGACCCCCTGCGCCGGTCGTCTGGCCCACTGTGCGCCGGCGGACACGGGGTGAGTGGCTAGAGCGCAGCGATGGGTGGCGTCGCGTCCGGGAGGCATGGACTCGGACAGCGAAAGCTGCTTAGTGCGTGCGGGGTGGCGCGCGCGCCGTGACGTGTCGATGAATTGCCGCGACGCGCGCTGCGCCTGCTCGCCGGGGGACGGCGGGACGGCCCAGGGGATGGCCGGATGGCCCTTGCAGTGGCGCTGCAGGTGACGCGCTGCGCTTAGTCGCGCTGCCCGGCCGCCTGGCGGGCCTGGCCGCCGCCCAAGAGGCGAAGGGCGCCCACTGTAATTTACTTTCATTTGTGGCCTCACCTGTTGGGGCCGCTTCAAAGTAGTAGCCAGTGTCCGCCACCCCGCCGCAGTGGCCCCGCCCAGGGACACCGTCGCTCAGGTGTCTCGCCAGGCGACCCCGGGGAGTCTGTCGTCGAGGGTTAGCGTTGGCGTACTTGCGGGACAGTCACAGAAGTTCCCTCAAAGACACTCCAATTCACAAGGGAGTTTTCGGAAACACCGTGAGGACTTTCTTCATTGACCGTAAGTCATTTCTCCATTACTTGGCGCCGACGTGCGTGCGCGTTCGCCCGGGCGCCGCATTGTCATCCCGATGTGACTCGCGGGCTTTTCTTGTTTGGCAACCACGCAGGACGACTGGCTGACGGGGCGCCGTCGTGTAGCGCGCGGGGCGGGGACGCCGGGACGCCGGGACCACGACGACGACGGCGCGCGTTAGTTTTACTCGGCCAAAAATCGGACCTAGGCGTGCATTCCTGGCATCGCCCCAGATTGGCGACGGCGCGGCCGCGCGCGGCGGACGGGCATGTCGGGCATGATGAGGCATAACCCCGGGTGGGGCTGGGGGCTGCGCTGTGGGGCCACGCTGGGGCTGGGCACAGGGAAAACCGGGCGTAGCCCGCTAGCTCTAGAAAGTCTCATAATGCACTTTTCATCGATTCGATTTGTATCCTTGTTCCTCGGGGGTCACCACCAGAGCAGATGATCCATTAGTTTTCAATGAGAAAGTGGCGCTGAGGTGTTGCGGGGATTTGCAGTTGTCGTGTCTTGGGGTGAGGCAGGGTTTCTCGCGCTGTGACTGGCTGCGGCTCGTTGGCCCCGCGGCGCCTCGCTGCATTCCGCTGCACTGTAGCGCGCTGCCAAACCTCAGTCTCATTTGCGGGCCGATATGTAGGCGCGACGTGTGCTTCGCGGACAATGAAGGCGGGCGGGGCGGCCGGGCGTCGTCTGCTGCATGTTGCTGCACTGCGAGCAGCGCGTTAGCCGCGCCGCGTCGGGCCGGGCTGGCTGGCCGCGCCTGCGCCGCGCCGCACCCGGTGGCCCCGCCACGTCACATCCCTAATTGAAGCACATCACATACATCAGCCGGGAGGGGGGCCGCCGGGCCGAGGCGGCCGGGCTGCGGTGGACGGGCTCTGTTGTGTTGGCTGAGGAGCTCTTTGAGAGCAGGGGCCAAGGCGTCTGCCAGCGCGGCGGCACGCACAACGCGTACTCGCGTGCGCACTGCACGCCCTCGCACACAAAGGACAACGGAGACGTTTTCCGTAGTTTGACGCGTCGCGTGCTTGTCGACGCCATGTCGCGCGGCGGACGCCGTCCCGAAATAGAGTGAGTGGTGCAGTCCGCGAACCGCGGCGTGCAGGCCAGACCTCTGGGCCGGACGAGCCGCGCGCTGGTCAGCCCGGGCCAATGCCAGCGGCCAGGCGAACGCGCCCGCCCCACAGTTTACCGCCTGTACCTTACACACTAGCCGCCTGGTTTGCTTGCCGTGTCGGCAAGGGAGCGCGCCGCAAGGTTTTTGGCGGAGCGGCCGACAGGTTTCGCCCCTGAATGGCTGAAAGCAGACCGACCCGCGCTGGGGGCAGGGTGCGATGGCAAAACGTAAACAGGCGGAACAGAAATACGACGGCGCTGTGCGGACGTGGACGCGGCCCCCGAAACCGGCAGCACGGCGACGGTGTGCCCATGCGCGAACACCCCCCACTGGGACCCCCGTTTACCCGCGTGCAGATGATCCCGCCCGCCTCGAAGACCACCTCGCGGATCCCTTCCCCCACCCCTCGTCCTGCGTCAGGTGCTTATGTTTGCCGACCCATCCTTCTTCACGCGTGAAATGGCGGGCCGTGGGTGGCCGCCGCGGCCGAGGCCCGGCGTGTTGCACACCAGCAGACACAAAGCACGCCGGCCGGGGCCGCCGGGGCCGCCGGCGTGGCGGGGAGGGCCGTACGCTCCAGATACATTGCCGCGCGTTTCCTGCGCGGTTGGCGGCCCAGTTCTCGCTAAACTAAAACTTGACGCTGGAAACAATTATTGCTCTTCGTTGTTGCGCAGGTCAAGATCCCCACGATGGAGAACCAACCGGAGGCTGTCGTTTACTCGAAGAAAGGCCGCAAGCGGGCAGCCTCTTCGGCGGAGCAGCCGCAGCCGAAGAGGTTCCAGGACGACGCGGTCCTCGAAGACGGCGTCCATGAGGTGGAGGAACAAGAGGGCGGCATCCGCGGGGTTGCGGTGCGCAAAGTCCACGAGGCTGTCCAAGTAGAAAGTGGTGAAGAAGGCGTCGCTCGCGAGGTGGCTGACCACAAAGACTCCACGCCGCCAGGGCCACTTGTCCGCCAGGACACGTTCACAAAGGACGATGGCGCCGCGACGGAGCAGTTCTACATCCCCGTCGAGCAGAAGGAGAACTCGGGGCGCAGGGAGGCGCTCTTCAAGAGGCTGGCGGCCAGGAGGAAGGAGAGCAGCGCGGCCGCGGCCACTCGGCGGGCCGCGCAGGCGGCGGCGAGCAAGACGACCTCGTCGGAGAGCAGGAAGACCAAGGCGACGCGACGCAAGGCACAGCCGGCACCGCCACAGCAACGGCCAGAGACGCAGCCCCCCGCCCTGCAGCGCCAGGGCACCTTCACCATCGAGGACGACGACGAGAACCCTCGGCAGCAGAAGGAGCAGGCCGCCGACCTGATGGACCCCGGGGAGGACCCCGGGGAGGACCCCGACGACGACGCGACGGCAAGCTTGAAAACGGTTGCGGAGATGCGCGTGGCGCTGGCCGCCCTGCGACGGGGACGCGCGGCGGCGGAGCGGGCGGAGCGCGCGGCCAGGGAGAGAGCGTCCAGGGACGCGCACCGGACGCGCGCCGCGCTGCAGGACCTGCACGCCCGCCTGGCCGCCACCCGGGAGGCGCTGCACGCCGAGAAGGACGGCCTGCACCGCAAGCTGAGCGCCGACTTCAAGAGGGCCATGGCCGACCGGGAGGCTGTCTGGCGGCAGGAGCGCGAGCGGACCACCGCCCAGGTAAACGTGCGTCAGCGTGGCATCTCAAGGCACATTTCAGATGGGTCCGAGAAGCACCCATCCGACGAACTCGCCGTGTTGCAGGTGCGCGCCCTGGAGACAGAGCTCCGCACCGCGCGGGCGCAGCTGGGGTCGATGCAGGCGGACGCGCTGCGGAAGGCCTCGACCACCGAGGCGGAACTGCGACGGGCCTTCCACGACCAGGAGGCCGCGTTCCGCGCGCAGATCGCGGAGGTGGCGGCGCAGAGGGACAGCCTGCAAGCCCAGCTCCGCGCCAAGGACAAGCTGGCCGCGCAAGGTGCGACGGCGGGTGGCGACGCCAAACGACCGGTGGAGGCGGCCAAAACTCGAGACGCGTTTTGAGCTCCAGAGTCGCTAAACAGGACTCGATCCGAACTTGTAACCCCACCAATGGATTCCTCGTGCGGAGAGTGATCCATTGGTGGGGTCACACGTTCGGTTCGAGTACCATTTAGCGACTCTGGAGCTCAAAACGCGTCCGGAACTTTTGACCGCCTCCTGGTCTTCTTGCCCACTGTAGGGCGGCAACGCCGGCAAATCAAACGGATCGCCATGCCAGAATGCTCACGTTCACGCCGTGCTTGGTGTCGTTGCAGACCGGCCGGCCAGTCCGGCGCGCGGCGTGAGGACCGGCGCGAGGCCCGCCCCCCGCGACGAGGCGCTGCAGCGCTCGGCGTGCGCGTTGCGCAGGGAGCTGCAGGACGCGCGCAAGAAGCACGCGCTGCTCGAGGCGCAGCTCAAGGAGGCCCAGCTGCAGGCCGCCAGGAGGCCCGCGCCCACACTGCTGGACGCCGAGCTGGCGCGCGCGCTGCACGCCAAGGAGCAGGAGTACCGCAGGGACGCCGCGGAGGCCGCCAAGAAGCACGACGCCGTGGAGGCGCAGCTCAGGGACGCCCTGCGAGCGCTGCGCGACGCCGGCGGAAACAAGGCACAGGTGGGGAGTTAGACTGACTTTAAACCCCTTAAAACCACTGCCCATATAATATCCTCATACATAGACCACGAATGGTTGTTCACTTGTGTTCAATAAGTATTCATTGAATTCATTAAAATATTCATAGGTCCTTCTCTGTACACAGAAATAGCGAGTCATTGCCCTTTTTGTTCACGTCTGTAATATTTATACTTCAATAAAAATACTTTTGTTGTCATCAGGAAAAGGCAGCCAGTCGGCCCGGGAAACAGATGACGCTCGCCCTAGAATCTCACAGACAGGAGGAGGAGGACAAGGAGGAGGACAAGGAGGAGGCGGAGGGCCACCCCGCGGCACCCCGCGAGCAGGTCCAGCAGGTCCAGCCGAGACGCCGCCACAAACGCCGGCGGCAGGACCCGGAACCGCCGGAACCGGAGACGGAGGAAGACGACGACACCCAAAGCAACGAACACAACGACGAACGACGACGCAGACTGCTCCAGGAGTTGGAGCGCCTGCGAGAGCGCAACGCGGCGCTGCAGGTGAGTCGGCAGCCACTGCGGGTCCGCACGGCAGTGAGGGTCCGCGATTGGAATCGAGTGGAAGGGAACAGGGTTGCCAGACCCTGAGTAGGCCAGTGCGCCACCAGAGCGCGCTCTGAGCGCCACCGGGCGCCACGGAGGCCAAGTCGCCACAGATCGCCACCGGACCGCTCAAGTCGCCACTCTGGCGCCACGGGTCGCACTTGATCGCCATCGAGGCGCCACCGTCGCCACCCGTTTCGGCGCGCAGATTCGGCCGGCCGAGGGCCAAGGAGCGCGGAAATGTCCCTAATCCCTGATCCGCTGGCCGAGCGGCGAGCGCGCCGAGCCAAATCGCCACTGGTCGCCACCGATTCCGCGAAGTCGCCACGCCAGCGCCACTCGGGAGGCCAAATCGCCACTCAGGTCGCCACCGAAACTCGGCGCCACTTCGGCGCCACTCGGGCAGGTCGAGCGCCACATTGGCGCTCTGGCGCCACTTCTGGCAACGCTGGAAGGGAACTGAATGGCGCGCCGGCAGGGCGGGCAGCCCAACGGGCACCGCGGAGCGCCGCGACTCCACCGCCTAGTACCGCCCCCTGGCGGCGGCGCGGCGCACTAGACACGCTGGCGGCGCCCGGGAGGCGGGCAACTCATCGGGCAGCGGCTGCCGCGGGTTCATTCCCCGCCGGCCGGCGCCAGCGCGCCCACTCCGAACAACGCTTCGTCGCTCTGTCCCTCTCGCACTCATGGGGCGCCCCGCTGTTCGGACGCCGCCTGGCTCGGCCGCGACACACCCCGCGGCCACTGCGGCTCGCGAGTCGCGCTGCCCCTGAGTAACGAGGGGGCGTATTAGCATACAGTGAGTACCCAGTCAGTGTCCCCGCACTGCGGTGCCACGGCACTGCCACGGCAGTGCACTGCACGGCCCGTGACCCAGGCGGGGCGGGGCGGCGCTCAGGTGTGACCCAGGAATGGCGCGCACGCCGGCACGCCCGCCGCGGACACGGCCTGCCTCTCGGCCTCCTTGTCGTCCTCCCCGCCGGCCGGACGCAACACGGCGCGCCGCGGGCGGCGTTACCCGGACGCGGCCCCCTCTGCCTCTCGGGCTCCCGGCCCTTGTCGGGGACACTCGATTCATCCGATCGATTCAGCGAGACATCGTGGCTTCGGCGAAATGCTAAGTCAAGTACACAGACTCTCTCTCTCTCCCTCTCTCTCACACACACACACGCACACAGACGAGGCAAGCTCGCTCCTCGGCACTCCGGCACTCGGCTTTACCTATTCGTCCTGACCGACCGGGTGTTTGAACCCACCGCCACCGGCCGCTGTTTTCTGCGAGGTTAGTTATCTTCGGTCAGCAGTTCTCAACCTTTCCTGATTCGCGACGCATTATTGGCGGTAAATCGCAACCCCCAGCCAAAATTAGGTTTCCCGGAAGAAAATCCTCCTGGCCCGAGGGAATGCTCTGCGCCTTCGTGAAATGCCCTTTGCCTGACAGATGCCATGCTCCCACGCAACCCCAAGCAAGCCGCTACCCTAGAATATTTTTCGGCAACCCTAAAATGGGGCCTCGACTCCAAGGAGGTTTAGTTATGTTAGGTTCGGTTTGGTTGGGTTAGGCAGCCGATGGAAGCACGCGGCGCTGCTCGCTCACGCCGCCTCGGTATGCAAAGCAGCCTGGTACTGGTGTCCGCCCTTCTGTCAGTTTGTGCGTCCGTCTGTCTGTCCGTCTGTCCGTCCGCCCGTCCCCCCGTCTTTGTTGGCGTGATGCGCTCGGCCGTACAACCTGATAAACGCAGTTCTGGGAACTGGATTTCCCCGCCTGCACCGCTCATTCCGAACAGGGCTTTCGTCTCTCCGTCTCTCTCGCACTCGCTCTCGCCGTAGGGGCCTGTGTGAGGGAGACGGAGCGACGGAGCACACTTCGGAACGAGTCCACTGCACCGCCTGCACCGCCCGCTGGCCGGCTGACGGGCCCAGCGCAGCCAGCGCAGCGCTCGCAGCATCTTCTCTGTTGTCTCCCGAGCGAGCCAATTAGAGAGCCTAGAGGCTGCCGAGCCGAGCCGAGCGGCCCGGCGTGGCTTTTGGGCGGCGCGTCCCTTTGCAAAGTCGAGAGGCTGCGGCCCTGCGGCCCAGCAACTCGCTTGGAATGTACTCGCACTGCGGCCAAGCAATGTGCGCGGTCAAGAGTGTGACGTGCGGATGTGGGGGAGGCGGTTGTTCAAGTGGACGCTCCAGGCCAGGCTCCAGGCCAGGCTCCAGGCCAGGCTCCAGGCCAGGCTCCAGGCCAGGCTCCAGGCCAGGCTCCAGGCTCCGTGCACTCCAGCGGCCCGGCTGGCACCGTGTCGGCCTAACGTATGGGCCCCTAATGAGACAAGGACCCTCACACTGTCGTGCCGTGTCGGCTGGCGAGTCACCGCGGCGATCTCCAAGGACATTGGGGACCCTCAGACCGCAAGCGTCCGCGCCGCGGGATTAACAAGTTGTCAATCGGGATTTGAAATTCGGGTAGAAGGACGCTACGGAGGGGCAGCATCGCCGTGTCGTCATCCGGTGATTATTCCACGGGTGCACTGTAACATTTAAACTGGGTTTCAACTTCGAAAATCGGACATGCACGTGACCTGTGTTGACATGGAAGCCTTCGGCCTCCAGAGGGGACTGTAGAGCGGCGACACAGAATTTCGCTCCTACGTTCCTAAAGGCACGTGCCATAATGCCGATTTGAACCCGGGATGTGACCGTGGCGGGCAATCAGCCAGCCGGCGCTACCAACATAACAGGGCCATATCGGACTGTCCAGCACAGCGGACCAAAGCCCTAAAAGGAGAGACACACAGTCGCCCCGAATTCAGTTCAGCACTACTTTACTCGGACTCGTGACTGAACCTCACTTGGGGTTCTCCACCCCGCTGGCACGGCCGGCCAGTGGGCTGATTCCGAGAGTCGTTTTCGTCGCTTTGTCTCTCTCGCACCTATAGTGGACGTCCCACCAGTTCGAGAGAGACAGAGGTATGGGAACGGCTCTCGGAATCGGTCTGCAAGGCCTTAAGGCACAGCCAAGGCTCGGCCAGGGCATCAGCGCGGCGCAAACGGTGCGCGTACATGCCACTGCCAGTGCAGTGCCAGTGCAGTGCCATGGCAGTGCGGTGCCCGTCCGTTGCCAACCCTTGTTATTGTTCTACTTGCTGTTTGTTGCGTCGCGTCGCCGCTTTGTCGATAAGGCGCCTGAAAACGGCCAAACGGCCAAACGGCGCCAAACGGCCTGCCAACACGATTACGTTACGCAAGGGGCGCGATCGGCGCGATGGGCCGATCGGCGGGGCTGCCACCGCCACGCCGCGCCACGCCGCGCCACGCCGCCGAGGACCGCGAGGCCGCCACTCTTCGTCATCCTTGTCCAGATCCTTATCCACTGCGGGATCCCGCTTGCCGCGGAGATCTCCGAGGATCCTCGGCGGGACTGTCCATTCGCCACCGGCCATCCTTCCGCCTTGCGAGGCACGCCTGGGCACGCCACCACCCGGCGGGGCGGGCAGGGCGCGGTGGGGGACGGCAACGAGACGGCGCGGTTTTATAGCCCGACGCGTTTTTGCAGTGCCACGGATCGACTCGGGATACCACTCACCGATCGATGACAATAGGAGCATTTAGACACACACACACACACACACACAGAGCTTTCATTTTACGGATCGGCGCCTCTCTGTGCCTTTGCTTTAATCGTCACATCCGCTTCACCATGAACCATGTGAGCCTGTGTGAGTGTGAGCGCGTGTTTGTCTCTGAGCGTGTGTATTTGCGCCTGTGCGTGTGTGGGGGGAGGGAGGTGGAGGGGGGCTGGGAGGAGAAAATGAATAAGAGGGCTGATGCGGCGCTCTGCGTCCATTCTAACAAAAGAAGTCAATTTGCCCGTTCCCGCACTACGCGCCACTCCCGCGGCCCCGCGGCCCCGCGGCCACGCCCTCCCCTGTTCCAGCGCTTCCAGTGTTCCTGTGGGGCCGTCATGCCGGCCATGCAACCCTCGCGCACGCCGGCGCACGCACATGGCGGCGTCGTTGCGAGGGAGGCACCCGGAGGCGGTCCGGCAAGCCCCCTCCCCTTCCCCCGGCCGGACCGGTCCTGTTCCGGGAGGCTTTGTCGCCGGAACACGGCGCGTAATGTGACCGGAGGATGTGACCGGATGGAAGAGAGGATAGTTTTCGCTTCCGGTCACTCCGACGCGCTCCATCAAGTCTCCCTGCCGACTCCGCGCGCGCTATCGTAACGCGCGGGTTGGGTTCGAATCCCGGCGGGGCCGGTCGCCGTTTTCGTTGCCGGCGGTGCTGCCGATCCGCGAGCAGGCTGATTCTCTGTCTCTCTCGCACTCGTGGGGCGTCGCGCAGCAGTGCGAGAGAGACAGAGCGGTCCCGGAATGAGCCTGGTGGCGGCGCTGCGGCCCGCGGCGCGGCGTGCGGTGCTGCGGCGTGCCTCGCCGGCGTGCTGCGCGCGGAGCGGCGCGGAGCCCAATTTCCGAAGCCTTTTTCTCGCGGAGGCGGTGGCCGTGGCGGTGCAGGGCTGCAGGCTGCAGGCTGGACTTTCTCTGTCGCACGGCCGCACGGCCGCATGGCGTATGGTAATGGCAGGGCTGCACGTGACGGCCACCTCGCCGCACCGCCATGTTCGGAAGCTGGGCGCCGCCAACACCCTCGGCGGGCAGTCCTCTCGGCCCTGGACGTGCGCGCCGCGCGCCAAGCACTTCCTGTCCGCCGGCGCGGCGGCGGCAGGTTCGAATACCGAAAAAAGTGGATCGGCCTCCGCTTGGCCGCTTGGCCGCTTTGGCCTACATCGAGTGCAACATGCGCGGCATGCCCGCCATGCCGGCCCGGCTGCTTACGTAAATCCCGCGCGGCCGATTTGCCGGGAACGCCCGGCCGTCAAACGCCGCGCCGTGCCGCGCACGCCCCCGCAGCCCCGCGGCGGACCGCGCCCGCCGCGCTGCCTACCGGCCCGGCGCCACGCCGCGGACTCCTCCC